AGCTATCGTTGTCGTCGGAGTACACGTCGCTGAAATAAACATTCATAGTTTTACTGCAAAATTGAAGTGAACTGTCGTTATTTCGGACCCCACCCGAATTTCGCGAGTAACCGATCCCACATACTAAGGTAAAAGTATTAGCCATGGAACAACTTTTAGTTAAGCTTTTTAAATAAATTTGTATAAAATTACTTGCAACAAGAACTCTGAAAATTTGTGCAGAGATGAGTAGACTCTACTTTTGGAATTTTTAGAACCACTTCTAATAACTTCAAATTCGTAAAAATGTACCGTATATTTGCGTATATCAGATGCAATACCACTAAAAAGCACATCCTATCAGCGAAACGTAATGTCCCCAATTATGGAACAAATTAATATGATTAAGTGGAGTCTGTGTCTGGCAACACCTCGACGTCAAGTACGTTTCTAGTTATACATGTGGTGTATTCACTTGGTATAAAGAATTTAAGATTTATTATTATGATTATTGTTATGATTATCATTATTATTATTATTATTATTATTACTACTACTACTACTACTATTTTTAAGATCATCAAAATGATTCTTTTTTATAATAAAACCCTTAAAACTGTGCTAGTTCAAAGTACTTTCAATAACTACAACTTTTACCTTATACATATATAAAGTAACTTTTGCCTCTGCATCGTGTATCCGTATGCAGTATGGCCCTCGGTATGGCCCTCATGTTCCTTTGAAGTTTTCCTCGTGAGCTCGCATTGTACCTTAATTCCTGTACCTAACTGTTAGGCTCTCTCTTCTCATCTCGCTAATCTTGTTTACTGGCAGAGTTGTCTAGATGGTCTCGTGGGCTACGGATTACCTACCTATATACGCAGTCACGCTTGCGGGCGAGCTGCACAACCTAACGAAATACACGCTGCACATTCGGTTTATTTTCACGCGCGCATTGCTTGGCTGACGGTATAATACATGTAGGTGCATTGTAAAGGCGAATGTGAATTTAGTGGCCCTTGAAGATCCGAATTTAGTAGATCCCAGACGGAAGCGGAAAAAAGCGCTTGCTCTCTCCTCAATATTGCAGCGTGCCTTCGTACTAGATAAGTGGAGTTCGATTTTTCCGTCTCTACACCGTTCTTGCATGATTCCTATCTCTGCTCTCATATTCTCTTTCATGTTTCCTTCTCCTTCTTTTTTCACTCCCATAATTTTTTTTCTCCATAACGCTACTGCACGAATGCTTTTTATTTTTGATCCAACGAGATAAACATTGACGTGGAATCCGATGTACTGGAGTTGTTTTTTTCTTTTTCTTTTTTTGCTCCCGTATTTTTCATGTTTTTCAGAACTTACGTTGGCTTCAACAATGCTAAGCGAAATAAAAATTGCTTTTTCTTTTTATTTATTTGTTGGAATATTTGTATATTTTTACAAAAAAAAAGAAAAAAAAATGTATTTCATGTCGCATTTTTAAAGATAACATAAGTCCTGAAAAATATAAAAAATCGAAGCAAAGAAAAAAATTTTTAAAAATGTTGGTCATTTCACCAAAAATGGAAATTACTGTATAGCCAAACATTGTTTGTAGAAATTTGATAATAAAATCTTTTTAATATATTAAAGAGTTATTTTCGCCAAAGTCACAATAGAATTTAAATCATAAAAAGGTATTGCTTTCATTTAGAACGAATAGAATTGGCTCATTGCTGGTATGGGCTCACGTCCCACTCTGAAATTTTCACTTACCAAGAAAAGTGCGGCATTTTACCTTTTTTTCTATTCTGTGGAGGTTGAGTATATTGCAGAAATTTTTCCATGTCTCACCCCTGCGACAGGCTAATGAATTGTTTAAGTCAGTTTCTCAAAATAAATACTCAAAATTCGTAACGAATTACAATTCCGCGTATCTTTCCTCAATGTTTAGTAATTGACTCGGGCGGTAATAGGTTAAAGTATAGCTGATGTGACGTATATAATATATATTGTAAAAAAAAGGCCAAAGTTTGATTTTCATTTAATTCGTCAGAATTTTAATTTTACAAGAGCGAGTAAATCTATTTTTTTCTCAGAGCCTGTAATTCTACACCCAGAACATAACTATTGGGAATTATGTCTTTAGTTGTTTTGGCGTATCTTTGGACGTTTACTGTGTTGTAGAAAAAATTTTCTTCGCAACCAGGGCCACCTCCGATAGTACAGAAACTGCCTCTATTTTTATAGTTTATTGTTAATAAGTCACAACCATTGATTCTGTAACGGTTACAAAATTGGGCTACTTGAACTGAAATAACAGGAATAATTTTCAATCAATTCTTAATGTTCTAAATATAGTAAGCTGGAGTTGCAGTGCAGTGATCTATAACGCTATTATTGGCAAACTTGTCTAGATAGTTAATGAATATAACTGAATAATACGTTAAAACCAAAAATTTGTCCCTTCCAAAAAAAGCAAGAACGTTGTCGATGTTTCTCTGTTGTTATTTATTTTTGTTATATTGTTCTTCTAATTCCGCTTTTTACCAATAGTTAAATTTAAGTTTTTTTTTATTACCAATGTATGAGAACCTACAGTACTTGTTGAAAGTATATTTCTGTGTGTGGACGTTAAATTTATGGTATCAATGGCATAAATTACATAGAATTAGCATTACTGTTCGCGACTAAACTTTACACCTGCTATAATTTCACGTATAACAAAAGAGAGAGAGAGGAGAGCCTGACGACGGTCTCGTTTACCTGCATACTGTTATGCCAAAATCATGCAGGTTTGTGCTTCGAAGGGAAACGATTCGAACGTAAAGTTTCACGTGTTGAAATCAGGTGGAGGGGTTACGGAAACTTTATTACCCGTATTTGGTGCGCTTGCCAGTGAAGGCAGGGGTACGTGTAATGTATACGCAACGCAAAGATTCATTTGTCATGAGTTGCAAATCACAGAGTCGGCAGAGGTCACGATTATGGCCACGAGGGTGGACTGAAATACTGCCCCACACCTACAATGTATGGTGTCGCCGGTGGCGCGGGTGGTGAGCTTTTATCGCTCGATGATGGAATATCGAGTTTATCTATCTGGATAAACGCATGGCGGATTGGATTTTCATTTCCCGGTGCCTGCAAAACTTCCGATGGCTTTTTCAGATTGACTCTTGAATATTTGTGTGCTACATGCGGTTGCCATCTACGACCGGATGTATGTAAGCGCTCCTGCCGCTTGACTTTCCACAAAACACGAATCCTGCGTGGTCTTGCGACACTTAAATGTACACGAGTTGATCATGAATTTTTTGCTTTGATCGATTTGCGCTATTCTCTCTTTTTTCCCCTCTTTTTTATACCCTTAATGGAAATGATAGATTCAACGCTCGACATTCTATGCTCTGCAACAAACATTTTTTTCGATTTTTCTCAAATCCGTCGTGTTGTGGTGGGAAGTAGGAAATGACGTTTTAACGTGAGGTATCGTTCGTTCTTATTACGTTTGATGCATTTGGATTCGCAAGCATCCAGATGCGCAACTGTCAGTTGCCATCTGCGGTGTTCTTTGAAATACTTCTTTTAAACTTAGATCATGCATTTACAAGATTTTTTGCGAACGGATAATCGTGAACCAAATTTGGCATTGACTTACATAACATTGATCAAAGAAGTAAATTTTGCATGCATAATAAATATAATAGAGGTATTTTTTTTAGCTATAGCTAATTAATGAATAAATAACTTGGCCAATAGTCGATCTTCACTTCATTCGTTATAAAACGTTAGTGCCATTTCGGATTGTTTCACACACATGTCTCAAGAAGGTACTGTATTATTAAAACGGCTATAATGTTTTACAACGAACAAAGTGAAGATCAATCATCGAGTAAAAGTCATTTATCTATTTAATTAAGTTGATATAGATCCTCATTCAGGGATGATCATTACCATCAAATACTAGAAAATTACAAATATAAACTAATAAAAATAAACCATTAAATTATAGTCTGTTTAATTCTTGTTAGTGATTTTAATGTTAATTTAAATACAAATAAATACTCGTTTATTAACTTCGTCCCTCGAGAAAGAGGCTTGCTCTGCAGGGGACGTGTGCCACAAGGTATGAAAATAACCATTTGCCATCTCGGGCGTTTTTGAGGATCGCATCAGAGTACGTAGTTGTTTTGAAATATCTTAAGATTCGATAAAAGTGAGTACTCTCGTACTGGCCAGCCTGGCAGCACGTCATGCCATGGCTATACTCTGTACTTTTCTTACCTACATCTTATATTCTTTATAATTGTTTATTTTTGTTAATTATAATATCAAAATATGTTATTCCAGCGTGTCCAAGCACCTACTATTAACAGATCCACTGTACTGTAAATGACGATAGATCTTATTAAAAATACAGAAGAGACTTACAATACAGTAATTCCAAATGTAATTTTTTCTAGAAGATACAACGCTTTTTTTTAGTAAATTAAATTTTATGACTGTAGTACGAGTGAAATCACTTCAGATATGCTCGTAGATAATGAACAATTCCATTTATTCTGATCATTAAATAATGAAATTGAAATCATAAAAAAAAATCAATCAATCGATCGTTACTGTCGATAAAAAGAAAAGTATCCATTTGTCACGCGGAAATTTTATTATTAGTTGATCGTGCGTACAATAGTTTCTCACTTTTTTTACAGAAATCGATATGGATTCTACGTTTTCGGTACGTGAGCTTACACAAATGGGTAGATACAAAAAGTTGATTGGAATGTGCGTACATATGTCTCTAAAAAATAAAGTATTACAAAAATTTAAGTCTCTCAAACAATTTATGCGTTATATGTACGGAAAACCAGTTTTAAAGTTATTAAATTTTGTAGCGCGTTTCTCATTTATAAAGTTTTAACTGTTTTCAGTACTATATATAATATTATTATTATGTACAATGCACAACAATATTATGAAAAATCACTACTAAATATAAAGAATAACGATCTGTAGACACCATAACAATCCCTAATGTCCTTTGTTCACTAATCACAAGTCTTTTTCGGAGCAGCAAAACAGAATCTTTCGCAGCCTCCGTTATTAATGGCACAAGGATTATTCTCGAGACCAGTAGCCTGAACGGATGAACTAATTATTCTTGCACCAACAATTTTCCCTCTATCATCTTCGTACGTGGGTATAATCCTAACAAGACCTAGACCAGTTTCTTTATGGACTCTCCATATGCTCGAGTCGTTGCTTACGTAAAGCCACTGGTGGTGCACAGAAATAGTCCTCGCCATTCTCATTGAATCAATAACAATAATTTTCTCATTGTTACCATCGAAATCTGCATATTTGACTTTCGTGAAAGAATCCTCAGTGCTGTAAATCCAGTACACCTTGTCCTTCTCGTAGTCTAATGTGATTAGTCTATGCTCATGGACGTAAGGTATTTGGAATATCTGTGTTAACTTCGTGCCATTCATAGTCATCCGTTGTATAGATCTCTGAGTGTCTTCTCCCGCTGTATAGAAAAGGAATCCCTTGGTTGGATAAAGAGCAAGAGCATAAGGACAAGCTTGTAGTCCAAATACGCTATCGTATAGAAAGTTTGCTATAACCTTTTTGTGCTCACTCCCACGATCAACGTTAAACATCATTAAATAGTGGCGTCTGCTGTGCAGCTTTGAGCGGAGAGAGTAATACATATTTCCCGTGAGCCAATCATAAGCAAGATCCTCAATTGTGTAAAACAACTCGTTCTGCATCAAAACTGTCTGGTTACTTTGACTTCTTAGTTTAATTTGACAAATCTGCACGTCGTCACTGAAATAAAAATTGTCGTTGGTCAGGTCGTAATCAAAGTCTATGGTTCCTTTGGTTTTTACACTTTCTACGCTGTATAGCGTAGGCCAGAAGACATCAATAAGGGCTGTTTTTGTATTGTCCACAATTCGTCCTCTGATCAAATCGTCTACTACATAGATAATAAAATCAGTGACTAGACGACAAGTTTTGCGGTCAGGATTTAGCTGCCAGCCGAGCTTGCAGGCACAACTTCGACCACCATCTCTGGTGGTCAAGCAAAGATGTTCGCAACCCCCATTATTCACTTTGCAAAGATTTGGAGAATCCTCATTCTGGTACATGCTTGGTTTTATGTGCTTAGCGTTATGAAAAGAATCAAGCTTGTGCATGACGTGCTCCTCACAAGTGTCGTTGTGAAGTTGGCACGACCACAAAGTAGCGTTGATATGCCCGTAATTTGGCCACAGCCAAAAGAACTGGTTGTCAAGGATAGCAAGACTAACTATCACCACTGAGTCAGCGAAGAAGAGCTTGCGATCGTTACCTTCGTAATCTGAGCTTTCAATGCTGATAAAGTCTTGAACCCAGTATACACGTCTGGTTTTGCGGTCTAAGGTAATAGCCGAGATCTCGCTATTCTGAACAATCTTCTTCAGCGAGGTACCATCCATATTACCTTTGAGTATCTGAAAAAAAATTACACAAGTAAGAATAGAAAAAAAAGTATCAACTAATGAGATAAACAGTTTGAGAGTTACTGAGTCGGAAACTTGACAGATGAACATGAGACCTTGAACTGGATCCAATACGATTTCACGAGGTTTCTTGAGATCAGATAAGAGAATATTGTAATTTTTAGATTGTGGATTTATAACGACTACGAGCTCTGAGATTTCATCAACCACATAAATATTTCCAGTTATAAAATCTATCGCTATGCCTTGTGGCTTAATTCTCCTTTCTTCAAAAATAAAACTTGTATTTTTTTGTATTGGGTTTGAGTTTTTATGGGAAAGAGAAATGATTTTTGATGCATCAGTTGCGCTTAAAATAATCATTTTTCTTGAGAAAACATCAAAGTAGTTTATAGAAGCCACATTGAATAAAAAAGCTGCCTTGTCATTTTTTATATCGTATGACCAAAAGCTGTCGTTATTGTGCAATATAAGGCCATGGGGTAAAAGGCCAGATGAATCAGTACCTTTACCTCTGTCTGAAATAAAAATTTGTATAATTATCTACTTAAAATACTTTTAAGATTATTTTTGTTATCATCTATAACTTGCAAGTTCAAAATAGTTTTAAGTCAGTATCGTTGTGTTTCATATAATAAAAAATACAGTCGTGCCCTTCGCGGCTCTGAGTTGTAAATTAACCTAAAACGAACTTATGAAGCAACACTGCTTATTAATTAACCATAGTATCGTACCGCGGATAATACATAGCGGCAACGATACTTAGGATATGAAAACCATACTTAGGATGCGTAAAGCATGAACACCAGGAACAAGTATACTTGAGCGTACCCTGAAGAAAAAAATTATTTAATGAAAATAATTATCAACTTTTTTTTTTGCGTCCAAAGTAAAAACAAAGAGAAAGAGTCACTGTGTTGTAAGAACACTTATTGGTTAACAAAGTTAACAATATTTTTGTTGAACAACAGAATTTTCTTACTTGATGCATATATAAGCTTAAAATGCTAAGGCCAAGCATGCAGGTGACTTATTATTATTCGTAGAAAAGTCATGCTTCTACGTCACATTGTATTAATTCCCAATTGTCCATAAAAAAGTTCAAACTATTACTTTTCCACTAACATTAAAAAAAAAAACTTACTGGAACCTGTCACGCTGACAGTTATGATGATGATGACTATTATAATAAAGGCAGCTATGCCACTGGCGATGTAGATGGGTCTCAGATATTTTTGACTCGACCTTTTCGGTATATAGCTTTTTATGCCAAACGCCTTACTCCCATCAGTATCGTGTATACTATTATTTATTTCCAAATCACCATCTACGAGTATTCAAGTATTTTAAAATTATTCCCATGGGTAAGTTGTAATTAAGTGAAGTTTTGAAGGCTCGTAGCACTGTTTATAAAAAAAAAACTCACCACTATTGGTTAAAACATTTACGTTATCCCAACGCTCGTCCGTATCCATTTTAGTTAAAACAATACAACAAACTAGAAGTGCTAAAAATTTACGAAAAACATTAATGCTCAATGAACCGTTTGTTTATAATAAGGGTGCTCGGCACAGCACGGCGTATTTCAGAGAACTGACTATCTTTGTCAAGTTGCGCTAGTATCTGTTGCATTTTCATCCCGGAAGAGTGCTTTCAGCGGTCTTTTGATATTTTGATCCTGATAAAGATATTTCCGCTTTGTCCGGCACATCGTTATCTATTACTACAATTCACATGCCTTTACGCTTATATTTTTTATACAATGAAATAAAATGACATTAATGCATTCTAACAAGTACTGATATGCATTATCGCTCAAAGATGTTGCAACACACAATATTTATTATGACTTGTATTTTTTGGTGTTATAGGTACACAGAAAATGGCTGACAAATTTAAATAGATTTTAAAAGTATCCGTGGTTTTATTTATCAACGTATTAAGGATATGAGTGGGACAGTTGTTTCCTAAATCACTAATAAAGAAGTTTCCAATTTAACAGTACAAGATAGCCATTACAGCCATCTGGTACTGACATTACGAAGAAAAACTCATGCTATTCTTCGTTGATATCAGCAACAAATTTTTTTAGCTCTTCTTTTTGGACTGCTAATTTGGATAAGTGTTTCAAAAGAGTTTTAGGATGATTCCTATCGGATGTTTTATCTAGTCACGTTTAATATAAATTTTCGAATGGATGAGGACGCCTTGCATCACGGAATGCTAAACTGGCTTGTTTATTTATTTAGTTGACTCATCCAGAAAATAAACAAAGACGTTTTAGGTCACGTAGTGATTCGTTTGTTTGCCAATGTATGATTTAATGATGTAGAAAATAAATTACGGTCTCCCTTGTCACATGAAGATGGATTCTTTTTTTTACAAATAATATTATAAATGTATACATTTCTGATAACTGAAGGAAGTCAACGTAGATGTTTTGATTACGTTAAAAATTATTGATTAAATATTGTTATTAGACGTGAAAATTTTTGTCAATGTCACATAAAAAATAAAATAAATATAATAAAAATAAAATATTCCTTAAGGAAGTTCACTCGCTAAGAAAATTAACGTCAATATATTGATAACACTTTAAACGGAGGTGAATTAGTGTATGAAAAACCTTTGGTTCAAATTTCAAGTCCCTTTATAGCTTATAAAGTGAGATACTGATAATTTTATTTTTGTACTTTTAACGTGCAGTCTTATGAAAATCACGGAAAATCAGTACTGTTCTGATACATAACCTGCAATATCTGGATAATCGACATCGAGATTTGATTGGAAATTTTTTTGAAAATAGCTAAAAACTTGCTAATTACGTAGCTCGGTGCTCTTGGTGAACAAATAAAAGATAAGACCGCGAAAGTGAGCCGCCACAGCGACAATAGAACAAACGTCCGAGGCTAGATAATCGAGTCTATACGTTATGCACAGTGTGTGATGTCCTTCCCCGAGCACCTCCTCCCGACATTGGCGCTAACCCACGGCCACTCTATTCGATGCGTGCGAGGAGTGTGGTGTATGAGAGTATGCAAATAATTTCAATTCTGTTCCAACGTCAGTCTACCAGCATAAGACGATATGAGTGGATATACACACACACCCACACACACACACATATATATATCCTCTCTCACACACAAACACACACACAGACATGCTTGTATGTACATTTAATGGTTTCGTTGCCGCTAGCTCTATGCTTAGCTCGGGTCTGTTGGGAGCAGAGTGCCATACTTTTCGTGCGCACAAGTATGACTCTCTCTCTCTTTTCCTTCGAGTTCTTAGCGCTATGTAAATAAGAGGCCATTCAGGTAGCTCTCGTGTCCATGCCTGTCTTTGCGTGCACTATCGTTGGGGATCTGCGATTGCAGCTACTGCATTATTTCGTCTTTCCAATTTTTTTTTGCCGAGTTTCTCGGGAGTATTCTTATATTTTACAATATTATATGCAGCTATTTTTCTTCATTATTCAAAACGGATAACACAGGCACGGCGTGCACTGGAGAATCAATTGAAAAAAAGGCTTTTTTTACTCCTGCTGTTTTTTTTATCTCGGTTTTTATTTCATACCTGTATGTACAAGGGATTTCGCAAAAAAGTCTTATTTTATGTCAAATTAATTTTTTGTCAACAATAAAGAAATTCTCAAGATTACCTACGTACTTTTTTGAGACATCTTTTACTTTTTTCGTAAACCTTTTGGCTATAAAGTTTGAAAAATAAAAACCATAAGAAAAAATAATAATCATGGCTCAGAAATTAGGATGAACGTTGGTACCTTGTACTTAAATAGAACAAAAATAAAAATAGCTTTATCAAGTTAATGCTTAGTTTATAGAAAAACTTGAGAAAAATCTTTCTCGAAACCAATTTTTTTTCTTCTTTTTTTTGTAATCCTTCATGCGTATGGTAAAATCGATGGGCTTGACGGCTTGCAAGTAGTAAAACAAAACTGCAATCACGTGTGTACTCTTTTGTAAAAAAATCAGCACTTTTTTAGAAAAAAAATACTCAGTTTAGTTCAAAACCTGATTAAAGTTTTTGTTACACGCATCCATGAAGTAAAAAAAGCTTGAAACTGTGGTACAGAAAAAATAAAACTAAAAAAATATACAGTATTGTTGCTCTAAATATAGATCGTTCCGTTTGACCGTTCAAACGAGAAAAGAATGTTTCATTCTTTTTTTTTTTTTTTTTGCATTTTTCTGAATAAAAATATCTTATCAATTTTTTGCAATTGTAACCATCACTCTTTTTTAATGATATAAGCTTTTATTTTACTACTTCAATTGTTAAGAATGTTAGCATGATAAGTAAAAACTACAAATAATTTAAATTTAGTTGATGAATATGCATATAATATAGTTTATACTGTACTATTAATTATTAAGTATGACATCATGAAAAATTTCTGTATTTGGTGCCCACGGCAAAAAACCCAACACGTGATAATCGCCATCCGAAAAAAGTGCAAAAAAAATGTTCTGTATCCCATAGTAATGTAATTAGCTAATAACCAATAACTAGTTGATTCACGCCATTTAAATAACATCATCACTATAACGTGAGCAAAGTTTCTTAACCAGCTTAAAAAAGTCAAATCCATCGAAGTCCCAATTAACTTAGTGCGAGCTTGCAAGCATGCGAGCGTCTTTTCATGTCGCATTCGACCCCTCCCCTGCCCCCACGATTCCTCGCACGTTTTTCTCGCAGATAGTCGTGTTCTCCGTCGTCCCCAACAAATTTAAATTGAATTCCGCAAAGTAGTTTCTCTCTCGCTGCACCGCCGATGCCACTTTTGCGCGTGCTACTTTCCTCCCTTACCCGGCCGAACTTTTGTTTGGGTGCGCTCAGGGAAATCTCGGCAGAGCTGCTTATTCCTTATCCAATCTCTCGCCGTCGCGCTCGTACATATGACGCTACTCCGTAGTAACAGCAATACCGGCACAGGATGAAATATTTTCGTGCTCTATCATCTTACGCGACAACTTTTGTTCCCCTGCGCGCAATGCAAAACTAGCTTTAGCCCCTTTTTTCCTTCTACTTGATGGCATTCCAAAGTGTTTCTGTTCGTGCAGCCCGAGCAGGTTATCGTAGGGATGTTATTTTGAATAGCAAAGGTTTCATTAAACCATGGCATTGTATGCGTACGCCAACGTGCAGTTAGTGGCCAAAGTTTCGTCGTTACCATTAAAGTAGTTGTTGCTCGCAGGACCATACCGTTCAGGGTCTTCCTGTTGTCATCTTTTTATTAAGAAATGATAATAGACTTTTTAGTATCAAACTTGTCATGAGTATGTTTTCTAGTAGTTACAACAGAGATGCAGCTGTGAAAACATATTTGTCACGGTCAATAAAGTTTCGTTGCGCTCCTTGTTTTATAAGTGCTTACGTGTAAGCTTTTGAAAACAAACTGTGAAAACTATTTTCTTTTTTTTTTTAAACTTTTTATTTTAATTATAGTTGAACATAACAGAGATATTTGATAGAAGTCAAGATATTATTTTGGAATGTGAAGAAATAAGTCAAGGGTTTCGTGGTTATATCTATTTAATTATTGTAAATAATTCAATCACTGTATTCTATTTCCGATGTGCATTGAAAAAAGGTCAGAGTTTTATGAGACTGCAAAGCTCGCTGCAAATGATATTCAACGGAAAAACGGTACAATAAAAGCAAAAAATGTTGTTTTACCTTTCTCAAAAAAAAAAAAAAAAAAAAAAAAAAATCAATATTTGGCGACAAATAATGAATACAAAAGTTATAGATCCTGAAGCAATACTTCGTTTTTTACAGCTTCATGTTTGTGCTTTGATGCATGAAAATTGCTTGCATTCAGCGGAAAATACCAAACGAGAAACAGAAAATTTGTAAAACTAAGAAGTATTTGACTTCACTGCATAGTATATTTTTTCTCATAATGCCACTTTATTGCTCCAAACAATGGAAATAGATTTTTCGAATAAATGAAAAAAATGTTTAATGGTAGGTAACGTGTTGAGTTGATGTTTAAGAACATAGTATCTGATTTTATACTTTGATTTTTTGGAAAGTAAAATTAAAAAAACTTTTATATCACACCAAGCGTAAAGTTCGTACTGTTCTCCCTGTATACAGGGACAGAAACTGTGTAATAAGTGCGTGTACGCATGCGTATCTATATCTTACTGTATGTTACTATATACATAAGCCAATAAGTGCCTGAAGTAGTTCGGTGCTCGAACATAGCGAGGGCGCCACACTGCAGTAAACAAACAAATTTGGGAAACATCAACAAGATAAAAGAAGCCAATGTTCTGTTTGCTGGTGTATTTTATACAAAAAAAAAACATGAGATTCTGAACAAATGGAAATAATTAAAATTGTTATACAATTTTCTTTGTTCACACATTTTTAAATAATAACTGCATTTTAACAGTTCTTCATTTTTATCAATCTTGTATAATAAACTATTGAAATTATCACATTTTGAAACACATTCATTAAAAGAGTTAAATAATTAGGTCCTTGTTCTTATGCTTCCATTGTAAGAATCGAGCGTATGCATATTCATATAATGCTCTCGATTTTATGGGAAGTAAAATTTGAACAATGGCATTTCGTTCACAGTCAAAGTCTCTTCCTTCCCCTACTTTATCCTCGTTAAAGTTTTCTTCGTCAGAAGAATCCTCTTCAAACATGACTGTCGAAACTGTTGCCATATTTTATACAAAAATACAGGAATGTCCTAAATATCACAATCGTAAACAATTATAAAAACTCTTGTGATATAACCTATAACCACACAATGAATGGCTTGTTTTCCTTCTATCTCTCTCCCTCTCAATGCAACGAACTTTCCACTGAGTGTGATATAAAAGTGTATACGCACCGCGAGACTAAAGCAAGCCAGCGAGTGGCTATTGCTTGTAGCGCCCTCGCTACGCTCGGGCGCACACTACAACAGCCACGAACTGGCTTGCTTTAGTCCCTTGGTACGTAATATACTATTAAGGCTTTTTGCTCCGGTAGTAAATATAGCAGTAACGTTCTAAAAATGAGATGCCTTTTTTTCTCATGTCACCAGAAAGTTTCCTGCCGTTCATTTTTAAAAATTGGATCTACCACTTCTAAAAATTTGCATTATGTACATTAAAAATACTGTGTCTTATATAATCCCCAATATACTTACAAGTCCTTGCAATATGACGTGAAAAAATCATTGTGTCCGGCCATCTCAGAATGAATCAGTGACTATGCTTGGTAACTTGGATTCATAAGAGTACATACTGATTTTAATATTAGAAAACAAAATACTACGAATGTTCGATTATGATGACTTGAAAAATTAGTGAAAATTCATAAAAATAGCATTCGTTGTACGTTGACAAAAGTAAATTTTTTTCTATCCCAGTTTAAATATCTGGGACACACGGATACACGCATTGTAAAGCTTGTGAGGGGATTAACGTACTTGGATAACAATTAAAGAGAAAACACCGGAATCTGCGAGTTGATTTGTAAGGCCTTGATTCGAGGCGTTTATTATAAATAAGTTTACAGTATTACATCGTATGTTATATTCTTCTAGGAAATTAATTGCATGCATGCTACCGAATGATTTTAATTAAATTAAGAGGTCAATATGCCATATATCTTTGGTAATCGAGCGCTGCTCTTACTCAGGCATTCGCTGATGCAGGACGACACACAGATTGGGACAGACCCTCGCAACCCAAACAAGCACCGTTGCCAATCGTGTGATCGACGGACAACGCTGCCTTTACAATGGCGCGATTTATGATTTTGGACCTGGCATAAAGTCTAATCGTCACAGCATTCACATGAATGTAATGCTGATGTGTACTAAAAAAGTTGATCATCTTTACTAAAACATCTTAAATTATACTGCTATGGCCTCGGCTATGGCAGTTACTGGTTATAACATGGCAATTTTATATATATATATATATATATATGTATATATGGA